ACACTGAGGGTTGCGATCCGTTACCGGTCACGAAAAAAGACAAAAAGGAAAAAAAAAAAGAATTAATTATGTGAGAATAAATGAACTGATAAAGAAGAATTATAGGTTTTTATGGTTTTTAAAACTTTGAAACATTGCTGGTTCTTTTAGTGGTTTGTCTTCCACATTTAAAGAAACTTTTTCCCTATCTCTAGTTTACAGCTATTTGGTAAAGTGTACTTTTGTGAACAAAAGCTGAAACATTTAATTTTTTTCTCCCTTCCTGATCCCTCCAGAATTTGTAAACTATTTATGAGTATTCTTATTTTTATGATAATATAGTTATTTGCATAAGTTTAATGAGAATCTGCTCTTTTAACAGGATACAGTTAGAAATATTGGTTTGGTTTCCCAGTCTTGAAAGGCTTTTAAAAGTCCAATCTGAGATTCTTTATCAAAAATTCCAGCAAAGCAACTTTAAAAGAGCCTTTGTGGTCAATCACTATTCTTTCTGCACTTATGTAAATAATCACGCCAAGTTTGATGAGGCTAAACTTATTTTGCAAGCAAATTAGTCTTACATTTGATCATCTTTGGTAGAAATGGGGGTAACCAGAGAGAGAAAAATAATGTTTCAGAAGAATAACTATAGTGCATCTATTATTAGATTATAGCCCTGCTCATTGTTTTTGAGTTTTTTTCTACCTGTAGACTGAACAGGTTCTTAAATTTTTCTAGTTTTCTCCAATATCTGGCTGTAACTCTCCAACTAAAAACAGGAACTGCTCTGTTCCTGAAGACCTATAAGATAAAGCTGAACAACCCCATATAAATTCTGGGGACAAGTCTCATGACTCACGTGTGGGCCACACAGAGAGTTCATCAAAACTACTGATGCCATAACCAGACATTCAAACTGTAGGAAAATAGCCTAAGTGATTCATTTTCAGGAATAGCTTAACAAAAGTTGTTTAACTTGTTCAACCCATTCCCAGAGAGCCCCTGAAAAAACAGAGCTCAGAAACATTATATCACCCTTGACAAATGACTCCTCAAGATGGTGGCTAGTCACCAGCCCTTTGTTCTCTTCATTTCCTGGTTCTTCTCCCTTCTCAGGACTTTTGTGTTTTTTTGTGTGTGGCTTTTTTTTTTTTTTTTTAGTTTTTTCAAAAAAATTAATTATACATATTTTTGGGTTTCAACATTGAGATATGTTGATCAAATCAATATTACTAGCATATATATTATTACAGATTGTAACTGTTCTTTATGCCCTTTGTCTAATCTCTCCTCATTCCCCTTCCTCTCCCCAGCCCTCTAATCATCCCAGATTTCTTCTCTATCCTCTGAAAGAATAATGGTTACTCTGTTCATTTGCTGCCCAAACGATCTGTCCAATGCTGAGAGGCGTGATCGGGTCCCCCAATACTATCATAGAGCAGATGTCTCTTCCATCACTATGAAATGGTCTCTGTGGAGACAGACTTCCTCCTCCTTTCTTTATCTCTGCTGGTGACTCTCCTTGTGTCAACTCACTCCAGTGGTTGGCAGACCATCTACGGGGTGGTTATGGCATCTAGCCACCTTTGAGGCAGCCATGGTTATTGTGATGGCTGCGGTGGGTCACCCACATGGAGGAGATATTTTTGGCCTGCTCTGTGGTGCTGGCAGTGTGCCTGGTTGTGGAGAGTGTCTAATCTCCAGTTCCATGCCCTGGGTCACCGAGTGGGTCCCAAGGCACTGGCACAGTGTGCCTGGCTGTGGAGGGGTGTGCAGTCCCCTTCTCCATGCCCTGGATCCCCGGGTGGGCCCTGAGGTGCTGGCATGGGGTGCCTGGTTGTGGGAGGGGGGCTCCAGTCCCAGGCTCCATACCTCAGGTCCCTGGGTGGGCCCAGAGGCACTGGTGCCTTCTCAGGACTTTTGGTGGGCCTCTTTTGTGGGCTTGACCTGAGCCATCAGACAAAGGAATGCCTTATAAGGAAATAATAAAACTTAGGCAAAGTCTGGGAAGATTGTACAGCCCATAGTACTCAGCTGATGAGGAACTGGGGGAGGGACTAGGGAATAAATTGCTTGCTGTAACCAGTTTGGGTGTGCCTGCCCATCAGACACCTGATCTTGCAAGATGGCCATTAAAGTCTTGCTTCACCGTACCTTGTGTCTCCATGTCCATTCTTTGGCATTGAATGGATGAGGGTATTTCTCACACAAACTGCAAACCAGTACAAGAATTTGATGACTTCGTGCCAAGAGCAGCCTTTCCCAAAATGTCAGAAAAAGACTCACTACTATCATAATGAGATTCTTACCTCTTTTAATTTTCTTTATTATGCCTACCTTTTTTTACTTGGCTATAGTAAGAATTTCATAATCAGTAGCTTCTGTGGGTAACTTGATGAAATGTTATATTTGTCATGCCAAACCCAGATCTTTACATGACCAAAGGGATCCTTTAGTCCACCCGGTGGGTACCTTTAGCTAGTGGTCCCTTTTGTAGAGTAAGACTTCAAGACCCACTTGTTCTCACTCCATGCTTTAATTAAACCCAGTCATGGAATCTAGATTACCTACCAGCTGAACAGGGAGGAATCTGTACAGTTGCTAACACTTCTTGTTGTACATGGATAAATAGAGTGAATAGGCTGCTTAGACTAAAAAGGGTATGTTCCATGTCTGGCTCATTCTTTAATATATTTGATTTTCATTGGTTCAGTTCATGGGGAACCTGGCTAAGGACATACTCCAAACTCTTGGTATTATCCTCCTGAAAGTTTTAATAGTAGTCTCCTTGGTGTGCTGTATCCTCACAAAAAGCCATATATGTCTACACGTATCCATCTGTGGAATGTTAAATGGTATCTCTCTGGCTGGAATGATAAAAACTCCAAGAAACACATGATAACAAAGATACCATAACCTATAAATGGCATATTGAGACTGAAAACCCAAAATTATGGTAACTGAGAATAGCACTGATGCCCTAAGTTTTGGTCATACTCCCACCTAGGAGGAAACCTGACTAAAAGGAACAAATTCTAAAATAAAATTTATAGTAGGACATTGGCTTGGACTGATCTCCTGCACTAGGCCCAACAGAACAAACCAAAATGGAGTCACTCCTGCTGAAGTTCCACATTATCAAGCTGAAACTAGGTTGTGTATCTGAACTTCTGAAAAATCAGGAGAGTGAGAGACAATAACCAAATCCCTAAACAAACCAGTTTGGGCCAGCATGATAAAGTCCCCTCTGCTTTAAAATTTACAAGAAAAGTAACTTTGAAATAACAAATCTTTTTTTCTGCCCTTTTCCTCTTATAAAATAAACCTCCTCTGCTCAGCATATTGGACCACTGATTCTGTTTTATTGAACGAGGTGTTGCCCATTTCTTTCTTTCTTTTTTTCTTTTTTTTGCCTTTTTCGTGACTGGTAAGGGGATCGCAACCCTTGGTGTGGTGTCGCCCACACCGCGCTCAGCCAGTGAGCACACCGGCCATTTCTATATAGGATCCGAACCCGTGGTGGGAGCATCGCTGCGCCCCCAGCGCCGCACTCTGCCGAGTGCGCCACGGGGTCGGACCTGCCCATTTCTAATAGCAAATAAAAGCCAACTAAGATCTTTAAACTAACTCTATCCATCAGCATCCAAGTTAGAATGAGGCTTGCACTAAGACCAGGCTCCTGTACTTTCTCTGGGCTGCACTGCTCCCAGGAAAGCCTCACTTCTGTCTGGGTGCTTGCCAGGTACAAACCCAATGTGTGTAAGCCCCAGCTGGCCTCCAAGGTATGGTGACAGGGCGTGGCCTCACAGACAACTCTTGTCAGAGAAGGTGCCCAGAGTCCTCAGGAATGTGAAGCCCAAATCCTCCCAATTCCAAGATTAGAAGACAAGAATAGAGCCAGGGCTCTGGAATGGAACACCTGGCACTTCATATATGAGGACAGCCATGGGCTGCAATTTCTGATTTGGGTGCAGAGTCCATAGCATATGGCCACTATGTCAGACCAAACAGGAGCCACAGGCACCGTGATGGTTGGGGGGTGGTGATGAGTACCTGCACTGAAGTTGTCCCCAAGTAGAGGGGGGGTATGGCCTGAAGCCCTGGGGTCCCTGTGGTTGTGGGAATTACTGAGACACACAAAACCTAGTCAGATATTTATTCGGGCAGTGGAGCCAGTTCTCCATGCTGCATGCCGTTCAGACTAATAGGATCTCAATGTGGAACTCTGGCTGCTTGGAAGCAACTCCGTATTGGACGTGTAAAAAGTCATCGGCCTGGAAGGTAGGGCTGCTCATTGGGGCCTGGAACACACAGAGAGTATTGCATATTTGATCGTAACTTTGATGGCACTGCACCATGCGAAACCAGGACTGGAGCCTGACCGCCGACTGCTCCTGGGTTATGTAGATCCTCAACAGGGTCTGCCTCATCTTTTGTATCCGCCTCTGCCTGACAGTCTTCCACCAGCACTGAATCGTCCAGGCCCTGAGAGCAGCGACCAGCAGGATCCGACGCACCAGGGTGCCACGCCACCAGGCCTGGATCTGCCCAGCTGCCTGGACCCTTTTCCTCTGGCATAGTTTTGCAAGAAGCAACTAACAAAGCAAAGCAGAGGACTCCCAGTGAATTTGTCCCCACCAAACACAGGTGGTTGTCTTCTCACTCAGCCCTTCCTGGGTGGTTCTGAGGACCCAGCAGGCCTGGGGTGGGGGGGTGTTGCCTCTACTTCGGCCTTGTCCATGGCTATGGGCACACCTGCCCACCTATCAGTCACAGTGTTCTCGTCTGTCAAATGGGAATATGGTTACTATGTGGACTTCACAGGTTCATGGAACCAGGAGAAACACCTTCGGATCCAGAAGGCCCTACCCAGGAGTAAGGACCCAAAGGATCCTGGTGAGGATGAGCCTCTGCGTTTCTGGTGGCATGAGTCCAGATGCCAGCTGTGATGCTGCCCCCGATGCCTCACGCAGTGCCACAGCCCTGTGGGGTCCCCCCCATTCCCTCCCTGCTGTCGACTTCCACTGCTGCCTCTCGGTCACCCCATGTCCTTCAGGGTCCTTTCCATTTCCCACTACGCTGTGCCCACCTCCCACGTGGGCCGTGCACATGCTGCCAGGTCCCTTCTCTACGTCTGTCTCCATGCCTAACACAGTTCACCAGGATAGGGAGGGCACTTAGAGCACCAGGAAGCAATACTGGGCCAACCCCTGTGGGACCAGAGGTGGGTCCTCCACTTCTAGGGACCCTGGAGTCGATGATCTTGATTCTCTCCCGTGCCTGGGACCCACCTACCTTCTTCGGATCCTCTTTCTCTGGTGCATCTTTATCTGGATTGGATTTCTGCAATCAGAATGGGGGTGGGTGGAGCGTGCGTGAGGACCAGCCTCTGTGAAAGGTCCCCATAGCCCCGGTGCCCCATTCTTTGGAGTTCTGTGAAGGCCTGGGTACTTTTGTCTGCTACGGGACAACTCCCCACCCCTGGGGGAATGTGGCTGACTGAGTCTTACACAACATCTACTGCCCATGATTTGGGGGCAGTGGTTCAGGTGTCACACCCTCTCTGGTTGCTGCTCCCCTGGCCTTGGTTGGGGCAGGCAAGGTGGTGGAACAGGAGATAGTCGTGATGTCATAAGGGCAACTATGACCCCGGGACCAGGTTGCCTTCTCCAGGCTCCAAGTAGGTGGAGAAAGCAAAAACACCTGCCCATTCCCCTCCTGCCAGGGATGGACCAGAGTCCTCATGGAACCACAGCCCAGGTGAGTTGGTCCTGCCCCGAGGATGACCTGTGGTGTGACCCACCCTCAGGCCTGTCCTGTCATCAGCCACAGAGGGGAGCAGCTCATGCCATGCAGAGCAGGGCACATGGCCTCCCCACAGCACTGGCTCAGGCTGGCTCCCTGTGCCCTCTTCTCTGCCGTGGTGCCCTTTGTCAGTGGTGGGGAAAGTCCTCTTGATGGGGAATAGAGTGGGTGTGGAGGGCGAGCAGAAGGACTGAAGAAAGGTCACGATGGAGGTGCCTCAGCCAATCTCTACTCCCTCCCTCCTGCTACTGCAACCCCCTGTCCCCATCCTTTTGTGGCTGTTGGGCGGTGCTTAGCTTACCGGGTCGATGCAAGCCCTTCCATCGTGTGTCAGAAACTTAACAGGCCAGAGGAATGCTCCAAACAAAGTCACTGTGTGTGAGATAGGGCCTCTCCCACTGCAGACTCCTCTGGTGCTGGCAGTGGACATATTTTAGAGTCAGTGGTGATTCAGGCTTGCTTCCAACTCCAGCAGTCTTCTGGCTGTCCCCACTGTCATTTCTCACCACATTTACATCCATGACGTGGCCTCTTCACTTCAAGGCATTATCTATCAACTTTTCCCCATGGAGGGAGAGAACGTGGCTTTCGGCCCCACCCCAAACAACCCCACGTATTCCCCCTCATCTTCCTGGTGATGCTTTTTGTAATTTAGGTGAGATCACGGTTTAGTGTTTGCGTTGTCCTGACTACGTGAGTCGGACCGACAGCTGTGCTGGTGAGCACTCTGACTCCCTTTTCTTTCCCCCAAACATCATAAAAACACTATTATGAAAATGTTGAAATATATACAAAATTTGTCAGACCAGGTAATCAGTCCAGAGGCACTCACGACCCAGCATGTCCCATGTTTTTCTCCTGTCTTCTCCATCGATTAATTTCTATGTCACCTCTAATGATTTTCTACAAGAGACAATGCCATGACTATCAGCAGCTGCCTGTGGTCTGTGTGGTGGTGGGAGGTGCCCTCCAGGGGATAGGTGCTGGGGTGGCCGTGCTGTGTCACAGGACAGGTGGCTACTCCACGTCACCAAACCCTGCCAGATAGCTCTCCCCAGCGGCAGCGCCAGTCTAACCTCTGTCCATCACTTCTAATTTTTGCTGACCTGAAAGACGTAAAGTGGTGCTGCCTTGCTGTTTTGATTTGTGTTTTCCTGCCAGGGGACTTGAGCAGAGAGGGATTCTTCAGGGTGAGTACCTGGGCTCCGGTCCCTACTCCGTCCCTTTCGGCTGTGTGCGCCCGGACAAGTCTTCAGCCCCCGTGTGTGTTTCCTTCTGGGTAAAGTGCAGACAGCAGCATCATTCCTCCTTCCTGCTTTGTGTGGATTCATGTAGGTGAAGTCCTCGGAATGGCACCTGGTCCTAGTACCTGCTCAGTGTCTTTAGCTCTTTTTATTACTCATTATTTATTACTAGCCA